GACCAGGCATGTTCTAGCTGTGCCTTTTCAGCAATGCCATTTCTAACCTCGCCATGTTGATCTGCAAGATCATTCTCTTCCTGCCCTTGGACCCCTTTATGTTTAAATTGCCTGTCATATTTTGTTGCTTGCTCAAAATATGGAGCTTTTTTCAATAAATGATGGAAGGTAATGCCTCTACTGTAAGAGTTCAGCATGATTAATAAAGTAATATATACTGCAGTGGATACAACTGCAAGTACCATAGCATAAACTGCTTGAGTTGAAAGCTGCTTTCTCATTTTTCAAAAGTATGACGTAAATGAAAATTCTGACTTGATTACCTTTTTCTTCCAAGTTTTCATGTATTCTTGTTTTTCTTCTGCAATGACATTAATTACAGCATCAGATTACCTTCAAGTTATTAAAAGTCACGTTTCTGATGATTAAATCCTTTTTCAGACGTATAGATTGGAAAAAAATAAAAAAGGTTCAAGCAGCCCACAACTGAATGTTAAGGAATATGCCATAAAACTGACTTTGTATGCCCTGAAATATTTAAGACTATTTGGCCTGAGGGAACGTATGGTTTGCAGATGGACATCCTGAAGCCTCAAGGCATTATATCCCCTTTATAGCAAGACAACACATTATCACCTTTTCCAATTTTTTGTACTAATTTGCAATTGCATATTGTGCTTTCTGTATTTGTAAAGAGCTTTGTGTAAAACTGGAAATCTGTGTAAAATAACAAGTTCAGTTCAAGAGAAGCAAACATGTTTTGGGAGGCAGGTATGCATTGAAGTCAGTCACTATTATTTTGAAAAGTTTGAATTTTTCATTTATTGCAATATGCCAGTTGATGTTAGAATGGAGCAATATATAATAACCACATAACAGGATCATTATTTTTATGAAGTTGCTGAATTTTTGGCTACATTCAACCCACAAGTTGCAAACCACATTTTTGCTTTCATATTTACTGAGTGACTTTATTTCATTAGAATTTTCTCCCAAATGACTTTTTTTTTGTAAAATATTTTTCACTGATAGTGATTTCACATTTATATATTTGCCAGCTTTGCAATTGAGATTTTATTCTGCATGATATATCATCATTACTTTCTCTCTAGGTATTCCTTTTTTGTTCTGTGATGACATTTATTAACAAATACCGTTTCCATTTGATTACTTCAGGAGATCGACTTAAATAAAAAGTCACATTTCTGACTATTAACTAGTATTGAAGTCGTAAAAAGTTCATTTTTGAAAGCAATAAACTCACACACCTCAAAAAATTTAACTGTATGCAGGACCCTATTGTAAACAAATTATTTGGCCTGAAGTGTTTCATTGTACTCCATGAAGCCATAAGGCATCGTATCTTTTTATTACTACTACTACTAGGTATCACACAATTATCTTTTCTAATTTTTGTAATTATTTGCAATTGAATATTGCATTTTCGGCATTAATAAAGAATTTAAAATTTGTCTGTATGCGAGTTGAAAATTTGTGTGAAAATAGCAAGTTCAGTACAAAAGAAGCAATCATATTTTAGACCGCAGGTACGCACTGAAGTCAGTCACTACATATTTTGAAAAGTTTGAATATTTTATTTGATGCTGATTGCAATATGCCAGTTTATGTTAGAATGGAGCAATGACAATGCCTTCTATATATATATATATATATATACAAACTGCATATGTCTATGTATTCATTCCTGATCACCAGCTTTGTCCAGATGCATTTAACACATCTGTTTTCTACCTTATCTACCAGGCCATGTTTTTTTTTCTAAAAGCAAAAGAAAAATTGTATATTATTTTTTAGAAACCACATAATAAGATCATTATTTTTATGAAAGTAGCTGAATTTTTGGTGACATTCAACCCACAAGTTGCAAACCATATTTTTGCTTTCATATTTATTGAGTGACTTTGTTTTAAATATCAGAATTTTCTCCCAAATGCATTTTTTGTAAAATATTTTTTATTGCTTTCACATTTGTTTACATTTGCCAGCTTTGCAGTGTACTTTTTATTTTACAACGTGATGTATTATCATTTCAACGTGATGTATTATCATTACAACATGATGTATAATCATTTCCCTTTTCTTTAGGTATTCCTTTTTCTTTCTTCTTTGATGATATTTATTAAATATGTTTTTTTCATTTGGTTACTTAAGAAGTTCAACTTAAATAAGGTCACATTTCTGGCTATTAACTAGTATTGGAGAAGTAAAAAAAAATTTTTAAATCTCATTCACCTCATAAAAATTGTCTGTATGCAGCATCCTATTGTAAATTACTTGGCCTAGAGGACTATGTTTCATGGATGTATTCCATGAAGCCGTAAGGCATCATATCTTTTTTATACCTAGACATCACACAATTACCTTTTCCATTTTTTGTACTAATTTGCAACTGAATATTGTATTTTCAGCATTTGTAATGAACTTTAAATTTGTCTGTATGTGAATTGAGAATTTGTGTAAATTAGTAAGTTTGGTGCAAAAGAAGCAAGCATCGTTTATTCAACTTTTAAAAGCCAATGCATGGAATGTACTGGAACTCACTTTATCATTTTGAACTCAAACTAAATATCCACACTGTCTGACAAATGTCAAAAGTGTGAGAACTTCTCAAAATAAATTCTTAACAGTACGATTTGTCAGTTACTCCCTCGCTCTGTATTGTTTTGGGTAAAATGTGTAAACTAGTCTAAAAAAAAATCTCATGACAACCACATTTGAGGTTTTGCTATGACATCAGTGTCATTATAAAACACTAGTACGGGTCAAAAAATATGTACTACCCAAAACACTGAAAAAAGGCAGCTCAAATTGGTCATGAATGGTTGTGTGCACATACACAGAAAACTTAGAACACCTAACTACACCTGCTGAGTAAACAAAAATGGCTTTCTTCCGAAACATTAATTTTCAGATTTAGATAAGTGCTCATCATAAAACTTTTAGGGACATTTGTTGTAATTTGGAGGCCGTAGAGGTGCAGCATGTCTCATAATGAGGGATAACATCATTTTCAGTGTGTGAATGGTATAATTTCTATTCACAACACACATTGGAATTGCCTATCTTTTCCATGCAGTACAATTATAACTTTCTAACATTTTCCCCTTCAGACAGGTGGTTATACATTGGACCTGTCCAACAAAACCAATAATTTTTTTTTTTTCACATGAAAGTTTTTTAAATTTAAGTTTATATTAGCAAATTAATTTCTTTAAGGGTTATCATGTATTTGATTTTTTAAATATATGAATAGAGTAAATCAGTCATTTTGAAAAATTTCCCTCCTTTTATTCAAATTGTCACATTTTTATTACTAATTTCTTCCTTACATCAATATCACATTGGTATATGACTGCACTGCAAATTTATCAAATCCCAGCACTTAATTTTGAACTTTAAATAACATAGGTGACGCTAGAGTCATTAAATAAAATATCTTACAAAATTTTAAGTTATATGTTTGAAAATAAACAACATTTCAATTAGATCTTTTACTTTCCTACCTCGAATGGTTTATGCGGGGATAGCATAAAACACATTTAATTGACAGGCAGTATGTTGTCCTGACAATGAACTACATTTATCCAGTTCATCTGGTCTAAAACTGGCTGTTATGCCTGAGTACTAGTATGTTGTATAGTTTCTATTTTGGGAAGTCTTTATTACTAGATAGGGGCCAGTGTCAAGCCCTAGTTCAATCAGATAACTGGTGACAGAGAATGCTCCAACTGGTTAAAATGTGTAAATTACATCTTCAAAATCATAGGTAGCCCGAGCGGGTCACTGGCAGAAAGGGTCTGGTTGCCAGACCTAGCAGTCCACTAGCCCTAGGCTAGCAGGCTGCCGCTAATGTCAGGCCCTGTGTAACAATTTTTTGTAAGGGTAGTTTGATCTTGTCCACACACAATGAGACAATGAGCATTAGGCCTTTTTACACCAAAAATTAATTTATGTGAAAATTTGGAGAATAAGGATAATTTATATATACCGATAATAAGTAATAAGAATGACCTCTGAACTGACCTGTTGCTGCTGTTGATGTGGTGAGTGTAGGAAAACTGCTGGACGTGGTGCCTCCAAAACCACCAAAACCTTCAGAAAAAAAAAAGATTACTTTCAACAATCCTTACTAATTTACAGGAATTAATTTGCAAAAAAAAAAAAAAAATGTAGAATATCCCTAGGCAAAACAAGTCTTACAAAGAAAATTTTTTAAGATAACAGAAGACTAAAAGGATAACAAAGTAATCAGACATTCCATGGCAAGATTGTAAAAAACACAGTTCAAATGCACCTCCAAAACCAGTAGCAGCAGATGTGGTGGTGACTGCTGTAGTCCCAAACCCACCAAAACCTGTCCCAGCTGTAGTTGTCTTTTGTCCAAACCCAAAACCTGAAAAGAAAACATCATTATGATTAATGTACTGTTATACATGTATACATGTATATCATATATACATGTATACATGTATATCATATATACATGTGAGATGCACTAGTACCCTCTCTTTTTTCTGATTCTGTCCTAAATTCCTTTTTAGTTAAATACAAATCCTTAGATACCATGTGTAGGATTATCCATATTCATGAATGTAGCAATAACTGTAAGTGAAGGGTTAAATCATTTTTTAGTGTCTCATAAACAAAGCAAATGTGAAAGCCTTTATAAATGCAAGAAAACCTAGGCCCAAGAATTAAGTTACTAATTACTAATTAAAATGTTGGATTTTGCATTAAATTGCAGTTTTCCTGTACACAAAGCAAAACCGGCTGTCACCACCACATCACCGGTTATGGTTTGGACATATTTCAAGTTACGCGAATTTCCAAATCAAATTATTTTTGCTTTGGGCATTTGTAGCGAATTGGTTAATCTTGATCAATGTTCAATTTACAGTGTAGTCTAAATTTACCTACCTGTGCTCTGGGTGCCAGCAGTTCCTGTCGTGCCAAACCCAAAAGTAGGCGCTGAAGTGGTAACAGTGCCAAATGCAGGTTTCGCAGCCGTGGTACCAAAACTGAAAGCCATCTTCCTAGTAGTGTTAAGATCCGCGCAATTTTACAGGGGATTTTTCAATGCTTCCCGAGTTACCTCTTTTCAAATCTCCTGCCTAAGAAGACCACACAGTGACGTCACCGTGTTGTCTTCTCTAACACATTTTACCGATCTTCATAACAAAAAAATGCCCCCCCTCCCCCACCAATACACGCAAGCAGGTTATTTGTACCACTTGTTGTAGCCCTACCCATGTAGACGCCGAGTGAAAGAAGATCAAATACTGCTGATGGATTTGACGGGAAGGGAGGAGGGGGGGGGGTGACACTTAAGGCCCTATATGATAAAAAAAAAATTATAGGGACCCTTCCCCGTAGCCTTAAAAATGGGCCTTGTGTGTTGTTTTATAGATCGGAGTGTATATAAAAATGTTACTTCTAGCATAAAAATAGAAGAAATGTTTCAATATAAGATAAAGACAGATCAATTGGTAAACGTTGAAATGTGGTAGGCCTAATTTAAAATCTGTAAATATAAATTAATTCACAAAAACACATAGGCCCCTACATGTACAGTGTAT